AATGCTCATGAAAGAGTTACAAACTATTGGACAGGAAAATAAAGGTCTAAAATGCACCTTTTTTCAGAAAGTGAACACTCACGTATCTTCTTGAACTTTCGTAAATATTCATTCCATATCGCATAATTTCAAACGAACGCTGCAAAACAGTTTCACCAGTTCCATAAAAAAACCCGCCTTCCATTGAACGCTAGGCGGAGTTACGATAAAACGGCATACTACTCACATGCCACATCAGTAGTATTCTCTGTTACGCTGATACCTACTACTTATACAGAAAATCTCTTATTATCGGGAAGATGCTAGCTGCCTTCACACCCCAAGACGCATTTCGATGAACAAACTAATGGTTTCCTCATAATCATCGATGAGAGCTACACCAGATGGGAACACAAGCGCTTCACTGTCGCACAACTCTGCCAATTTGTTTGAAGAAGGCCTCCGAATAGAAAGATGGCAAATGGGGACTGGACAAAGGGCTAACTCTTCACTTTATTCTGAAGGCCGAACAGCACCAACGATACTCCATTCTCTTCTGCCATGTCAAATTCCGTCTACCTGTAGATTTTTCCACTCTGTGTGCTGCTGCCCAAACAAAAGGAATCGCAGTGCTGGGTGCATTCTTTCGAGGATATACCTTCTGCGCTACCAAAAACTCGTTTCTCGATAATCTTATTCCGAAATTCATGGTCCTAGCCGATCCCATTTAAACACCTGAGACACAGGCCGTCGGTGATTCAAATATGTCTCAGAATCTCCGCTCGAAATGGCCAGGTATCCTAGCCGTACAACAATACGGCCCGCTCTGTAGTCTGACTCATGTGCCTTTTAAAATCTTGTAATATATCTGTTTGACGCCATAAGCGGCACGAATTGGCAAAACCAATCCAATCCTTTGACGTTCGTGCGTTGACTTCTTCTGTCAACCCAACATCAGAGCTAACACAATCTCTGAGATACGTGTAATTTCCAGGAACTTTCAGTGTGGGCGAACTACTCATAGAAGGACCCTATGACCACGATGAAATTTCTCTAGTAATGGTTGCGCTCCCTGCTGTTTCTTGGAAATAAAAGCAAATGTTCTACGTATTCCAGGTCGCCAAAGTTTCAATAAGAGAGTTGAGAATCACTGTATCATTCAACGGTAGACGCCTCCAAACAAACTGAGGTAATCCAGTTGAGGAATGAAACATCATTGTCTAAGAAAATAGAGATCTCATAAGGTTGATGAAAATTCGTCGACAGCACACGACCGGTTTCGCCTCTTCTGGGACTCATCAGGTAGGCGGTGCCCGAGTTTCCATCAACTTTATGTTCTACTAGAAACCAAATTGCACGAAATTAGCGAAATACACTCATTTGCAAACTAATTTGGTTTTTCGAGAGACTCACTTAAAACTCACCCAGGAAACATCACAAACGAAAGATTCAGATGGGTTCCAAGTGATTCTTTCGAAAAACCAAATTAGTTTGCAAAGTTGCTAACTTCGTGCAATTTGGTTTCGATTAGAACATTAGGTTGACGGAAACTCGGGGACTGCGCCTAACTGATGAGCCCCAACGAACGAGAAACCGGTCGCGGGCTGTCAACGGATTTTCAGTAAACTAATGAGTAGTGCATTACGAATATACACGTATTGTGATATCTCGAATATCCTAGAAACTGAAACATGAGACGGCCTGGTGCAGCACATTCAGTTGCTTGGAAAAATCACGAACGAAAGATTCAGTTGGGTTTCAGGTGAGCCTCTCGGAAAACTAAATTTGTTTGCATATGTGTATTTCGCTAAACTAGTGATCTTTTCTAATTTCCTGGACATACTCCGGCTGGCGCCAGATAGCTTTTGCTGCATTTGATTTCGATTGCTTTTTCCTTGTTCGTAATTTAGAACACTTATCAACGAGTTTTGTCTGCATACATTTCTGTAAGTTTCAGACACCTTTGTAATGGACCTTACCATGTTTTACCAACCAAACTTTCACTAAAACAGGATGACTGTCGTAAAAGATCGGCTTACAGGATTATGTACTTTCTGTTTTAGGTCGTTCGAAAAGCGTGACCGTCTTCGTATTCATGTGCTTCACGTGCACGAAAAACATCGTCCACACAAATGCCATCTTTGTGCAAAAAGCTTCAGTCAGTCATCCAGCTTGAACAAGCACTTGCGCGTGAGTCATTCCAACCCGCTTAATACGCCGTCTTGGAGGGGCAGTGACCAAACGACCACTGTCCCTAGGAGGATGGGCGATTATGATGTAGTGTGAAGTTACTTTCGGAATTTCCTAATTTTTCATGAAGTACTGGTCGTCAACTAGTTTCGACGTATCGACTGACTGGATATTTTCCGCATGAATGAGTACTTAACTAAAACGTCCTTGATATAGTGTGCGGAATCTCATTGCAGCCACACGGTGCTTTTGCAAAACATGGGACGCTGTTACTTTACAATCCTGAATATTGGAATGCCCAGCAAAACGACCTAAAACCACACTATGAACGTCATTTCTCTTGATGACTTTTGTCTGACATGCTGTCGATTCTGAGTGATATTTACTAGTGAGCCATGCTCTTGAGATCAGCTGATCGATAGTTCACTCGAATCCGCCAAAGAATGGCACTCGGTCTACTACTGTTGTGACTCGAACTTCGAAAACTATTCATTTAAAAAGAGTCAGAATGAGTAGCTCTTCGGTCGGCGAACACTCGAATTAGGTCAGTTTAGGATATTGCTAAAAGCCATCGGTGGAATCGAAAGCAAAAGTGGACCTATGAGGACAGCATGTGATAATGAAGTGGATTAGCGGAAGATCAGATTTGATATCAATGACCCAATAAGCATGACGGTTACACCATTGAGTTCGACAGTGGTATCAATTTGGATCTAACTTATCACCAGAGGCCACAGTTGGGTTGCTTGTTACCAATAACTTGTTTTCGGACTATCATCCAGGTTTTCAGGTCGGCTGTCGATCAGTTCGATTGAATTTTTCTAGTGATCGAACTGGTGTAGAATATTGAGGCCGACTGGTTTCCGATTAGACCCGTTTGGAATTTTAAACTGATTAGGTGTCTGGGGGAAGTGAATGCGCACCGCAAATCCACCACGAACAGAACTGTTTGTGGTCTAGGTAGTTCCTTGTGGGCTTTGGCAGAAACTCAGCTGTTTTGCTGAACTTAACCGAAGTAAGGGAGTCGAGGTCAAGCTAAAATTACGGGACTCTTTGTGTGGTTATTCACAGGAAATACAAAGTGGCAGTGGTTACCTTGTTTTCATTTCAAACCAGCGAGTTCCGAGTTGCCGTTTGTCATCGTAGAAGGTCATTAGACAAAGAGCTTGGAATCCCCTTTTAACTGTTCACACTTCTAGTGAAGATTTGATTTCATGACATGACACCGGAACAAAGGAACAAAACCGGTGAAATGAAAGCTGATCAACTTAAAGCCCGAATGGACCAATCTATCCAAGTGCCAGACAATCCCAAAGTTCGGTCCATTGCAGACGAAAACTACTCTCTAGAAACCACAACTGGTGAAAGGAAGAAGGCTTCGCTGCGGGGTTATTTATTCGGAAATGCCAACTGACCGGCTACAGACCATTGAACAGGGAAGCAAAACTCTAATCTGCATCTTAGTTACAAAAACTGGACACAGATCTTCTCCCGAACAAGTCTTCCTAGAGATTCATTACCTCCACTCATTCGTCGGTCAGATGCAAGCAAATGTTACAAAGTGACCCCATGAATTCCGCAACATAGATCCCTTTTTCAATCGACGCAAAGCGAAATTCTACGAACAACACATACTGCTCGCGTGCCTCCCGATCAGTAGTATCACCGTTACTCTGGTAGTGAAATTGGGGGACTCACGCACTCAATCACTCACTGACCATGTCTGCTGGCACCATGACGATACGTCTGCAAACCAGTTGCTGAGGGTCGACCGCGGATCTACTCCGATCAATGATGAAGTCCTCATCATTTTTGATCACTTTGTTTTCACGTAGTTTGCATAGCAGGACGCCCGAAATCCCAGGATCAATCAAAAGATGCGAATCTACGATACGAAAGCAACAATTTCTAGTTTCACACAAATGAGACAGCAATTCAGTAGTGTTATTGTTCCTTGCATTTTCTCCTTTAGGTTCACAGTGGGGAACGTCCGTATAAATGTTGCTATTGTAACAAGGCGTTCACGGCAAGCAGCATTTTACGAACGCACATCAGACAACATTCGGGCGAAAAACCGTTTAAGGTGAGTGAACAGAGGACCTAGATAGGTGATTATGTAAAATCTTTTCGATATTGTCCCTGCGAACAAAGATCATCACAGAAGAAGGAAGTGACTGGTCTAATTTGGGAGTTATTCTTTTTCTGAACAAAAAGATTTTCGTCTACAGTGGTGCACAGAAAGCTTGCTTGAATATCGTCAGAAGGCTTACTAAATACCCACTTTTGAAGACTATAGTTATCATCTGGAAACGTTCTCTAAAATTATCAGCTGACCTAGCAACAAATACTCTTGTTAAAGTTAAAGCTTATGCGCGAGCCTTCTGTAGAAATTCCCAGTTTCTCAAACGTCACCAGAGGAAAATGTTTTTGAGCTGATACGAAATTAGTACAACGACCTATCGGGAAGTCGATTAGAGCAGCTGAGATAGTTCATTATTTAAGGCACCAACTAACGGACCAGAAGGTCCCCGATTCTAAGCAGATCTCAACAATGCGATTGCTTTGCTCCAGGCTTGAGGGCCCTATTAGTACCTCAGCTGTTGTGCTTCATTCGGGTAGCATAGCGGTGAGGCACCAGAAGGATGGTAGAGCTGAACAGTCATCATGACGGTCATCATCATCATCACCATCATCAACATCTATGTTGAGGTTCCCGATACAGAACTTTGAGTGACGCGTAGGTTCATGCAATCCTGAATATCCAGAGGAAGAACTGGGTTCGCAATTCTACGGTGCTATTCACACAAGGGTAAGCAAATGTGTACAACAACCTCGGTTGTTCACGTTCATAGCTCACAGGTCTTTCACTGACCGGCAACGTCCGCGCACCAAACAACGGCGAGCGGAATGATGGCTCAGTAGCATGGGTTGCGGTCGTCCCTTCCGACAACGGACTTGCGATCACACGGAACTCATGAGCAAAACAGGCCAAGGCAGGCTCAGCAAACGGGACGTGAACGCTCAAGGATAATTAGGTCTGCAGCGCACATTCACACGCAGACACACATGTCAATACAAAAGTGTTGGAAAGGACTGCCTCTGCGGCAAAGTGAGTGGCGGGTACGGATAAGCAAGACAACTGGAGTTCAAAAGTACATAACGGAGTAAGCAAACGAATGGGGGAATTATCATAAGGTCAAGGTAGATTCAACGATCATCATCATCATCCTCATCATCATCATCATCATCATCAGGAGACCGCGGGGTTTGAAACCAGCTCACGCCCACTGAAGATAGACTTGGCTACACCTTTTTATCGCAGTGAAATGCGTCACTTACGGTTTAGGTAGAATAGCGCTGATGTTACGCCAAATGAGCTCCACATGCCTATACAGTTGTCGCATCCTTGGAACACCACTTGGAAGTTTGGGGAGAAACCGATCTCTTCTAGAAGGAGGGACGAATAAAGCATTCGAACGACTTACAGTGAGTTGACCGCAGATAATCTCATCTAAAAAATACCGAAATTCATGTTTCCAGATGTCGAATACTAGGGGAAACAAATATCTCTTGATGTCGCTGGTCAGGTACTACATCACAATGCACGAATTTCTCACCTTTATGTTTGCTGAGGAGGGACTTTATGCCATAGGAACTTAAGGAGTGGTTTCTGTCGTATTGAAAGTTACTGGTTCCGAGAGGAATGTCACGGAAACCGCATGAAACACTCGTTTGGGAGAGAGATGATCCAGGTTACCAGAAGATCTTTCTCAGAACCGGTTTTCATCTAAAGATACTCATAAACCACTGTCCTAAATCGTCATGGATTGTGATGCTCATTGCAAACGGAAGGGCCTAGGACTAAAAACTTTTTGATGCAGTCATAAAGCTCGAAAATATTATAAATGCTGATCAGAGGGGGGACGATTATGTTAGGAGAACGTAAAGGAACTATATAACAGCCAATGGAATAACCGTTTTCGTCGGCACAGATTTCATTGGTTGTTCTCCACTCGCCCTTGACAGATGAGTTGTATGCTTAGTATCGCTTTTTTGACCCGCTTGTACGCGACAGTGATCCAGACCGAGGTTCACGGCAATAAGAAGGCGTTAAGGGGGCTGTGGTCCACAACAGATTGAAAAATACGGCAAAAAGTTGGAAAGAATCGTCACAAAACTAGTGACGAAAATTCGCTTCTCTACTGGATATACCACTGAAAAGTCTCTTGAAATAAACGGTGAGGTGATACTGATGAGGCCCGTATGATGATAAAAAAGACCAGTTAGTTGAATGTCATCAGAAAATGAACCATCGTGGTGAGAAATGAGCTTCTTCACCGACTGGTGCCCGATTCTCACCACTCGAGTCAAGTTATTCCCGACAATCCGGTAGGACAACTTTGCTCCGATTTCACAACCGAATTTCAAACACTACAAAGCCCTAAAGCTCGATCAAAAAATTTGCACTCATCAACCTTAGCCTCAACCTATTCGCCAATCGAATGTCCACAAAAACCTGTAGGATTCTCAAGGATGCTGGAACAAACTGTCTGTGTTTACCGTTGCTTGAATTCGCATGCAATTTCAGTCTACTCTCTATGGCACGTGGCTTGGAGCTTTCAGGTAATTAGATTTCAGAATCCATCTGCACATGCAGGATTAGGCAGAAAGAAACAAATCATTGCTGTCACTACCCATTCCGCATTGTGACAAACGCTGACCAAGTAAAATCGATTTTTGGATCTCATTTCCTCTAAATGCTTTTTTTCGGCTGCGTTCATATATGACATCATTTAGGGTTCGATGGGAAAGTTGGTCAACTGTACAAACATTATTGGGCAATAAATCCAGACTTTGAAAAACTCGTCTCGAAGGCAAATATTTACTTTGTTCCCATAAGCAATATGGTCGAACTAGCTAATATCCAAAGACACACAGGGGCGACCCGCGGTATAAGAAATCCGGTCTGTAAATTTATAACATCAGTGGAGAAATTCAGACTGAAAGTAGCCGTAGATTAGAGGGTCTTGACTTCTAAGAGCATGGCAGATGACCATGTATACCTCCGTTATTCAGATGGATATATATATATATATATATATATATAAACAAGATGTTGGAGCCAAAAGTGTCGGGCTCACAGCCGATGAATCGATTGAAACAGACGTTTACTGCTCATATTAATCAAAGTATATATAGATAAACTTTCATACGTAGTGAATATCAGCTGGTGGGGACTAGACAAACAAATCTTCGGAAATTTGGCAAATTGTCCGTACGACATCAAGCGCAAATGTAACTGGGCAAATTAGAGTGTTGTGTGTACCATATTGTTTGATCTAGTTTTTGGGAAGAAACACAACGCCCTAGTAGCAAACGTTCTGGTCACCTCAGCTTCATCATCAGGGGAATGTCGCTGCTTATTCCGATTACTTCAGTCCTGAAGGTTTTTTTCATGTGGCCAAAACCTTGAGCGGTGAGACTCCGCGAAAAACGTTGTGTTCTCTCCAAAATGAAGCACCAATCAACTGGTCAATTACGTCACCTGATATAAACCGACAGGCTTTCTTACGGGTTTACCTTGATAGGGCTATAGTAATGTGGTATAGCTTAGCGAAAAAGCGCGCCAGGTCCTGGACACCAAGGCTGGTGATCTTCCACCTCGGACGAACCCAGTGTGTTCAGTGTGAAACCGATAAAGCTGTTGGAGTGGAAAGCCGTACAAAGACGGAAATCAGCTCAAATGAACTGTGTATATTTTTATTTTCCATTCGGGTTGTAATGTGAGGCGAAAATCAAACTTTATTGTCAGTGCCGAGCAAGTCTCCACATCGAACTCATCAGATATGATCTTTGAATATTGTACGTCTTGATGAAGGCCTCTAGGTAGTTTTCTGATGATCAGTAAGTAGCCTTTGAGTTGGAGGTATCCAGGTTGTCAGATTGTTTCGTTTAAGTAACTTTGTTGAAATAACTTTCCAACCATAGTGTTCCATGACTTTCAGTTGGAGATATAGTGTAAAATCTGCCAGCTCTCGTTTGACCTCTCACAATTTGACGCGATTATGGACTGATCAGAACCCCCTATTTTGAGACTGCCAAACAATACTGCCTTTAAATTTGTGTTTATACGTAATCTCGATGTTCAAAAGAGTTCGAATAGCTAGTTTCCTTTGGTTTAAACTTATTCAAGTGACATGGGGTCGACACTTACTCCGGACTACTGCTTATTCAAATGATATGGAGTCGACACTTATTCTACACCAACTTACTTTCTACGACTTCTAGCTCTTGTGAGAAATATACCGCTTTGATTGTTTCTACTCGTTTGTGTAACCTTAGAGAGTAAACCGAACATGCCTGTTCACGTCGTTTTTAAGTGTGTGTCTAGCGTGCTCCGCAACCGACAGAAATCGATAAGGTGGCACGCCTAGACGCTTTTGCATGAGAAGAGTTTGGGTAAAAGAACTGATCCAATCCTTCTTCATAGGGCTTGATTTTCTCGTTTTTAACCATATGCGTGTTGTTCATGATTTATTCCGTACTGAGAGCCGCTTCCTGGAATCGTCGATGCAATTCACAAGCTCGACACCAAACTACTGATGGGGTTCAAGTAGCGTAATATAAAACGGTAAGCATACTTCCTGACTGACCTGTGCACCATGCGACGCTTACTGTCGTGGTCACACCGGAAAGGTGTAACACTGTGGGACGCATCATCTTGGACGACCTATTTGTCCTTGACAGAGTTTTAGCCGGCTGAATTCAATCGCTCCTATCTTGTGGCTAACGGAATCCGATAAGATGAGGGCTACTACCACATCAAGAATAACGCCAAAGTGAGGGCACTGGGATGAAGAAACCCAGTCTTCGTGGAGTTTTCCGCATTATTAACAGAGCGGTTGCAGTTTTTTCAGTTTCTAGTCTGATTCCAGATTCTCAAGCCTCAAACGCCTTGAATCCATGAGGTTGGGTTATGTTTCATGAGTCAGGCCATTCGAAATTTCCCAAAGCGTATATGTAGACAGTCAGATCCCAAGCCCTTTTGGCCATCAACTCGGTCCTCGACAAAAAGGCAACATACTTTTCGGACTAATGTGGGGTGGGGGTTCTCTGGACAAGAGAGATCCAGCAGGAAGCTGGCACGTTAGACATGGGGTAATTGTTTGTGATCTTTCCTAGAAGTGTCTCTTGACGGGAACCATTTCATCATGGCGATGAAATAATCGATTTTATGCATATTTTTACCACTTCTCTCCAAAGCTAACACTACACGTGGCCAGTGTTTAATAAGGCTCTTTTCAGTATGCGCTAGACCAACACCCTCAGAGGGAAACGAGTGAATTCTCAGGATGACTATCCGTTGAAGCGCTCAAAGCTATTTTATTGAAGGTACACAGTCTTTGGGAGCAATAAAGGGACCGGATTGCCTCGGATGGATAACTGTTTTTGGAGACGCAAGATTCGGCAACACACAGTTGTTGAACTAGGCCACTTGATATTTGCTTTTTAACCGACCAAATGTGACCGCTTCGGCTTCATTTGGAATGCAACCTATAGGCCTTTTCTGAATCCACCAAATTTAACTCAGTTCACTCTCTTGTTATTCAGGAGTGATGAGTAGATTACGCAAAGTGGGGTTGTCCATCAGAGCAGATGAAATGATGTTTTACCTTGAAATTCGCAGCTTAGAAGGGAAACTCTCTATCAGTTAGTCTGCCTGCTTCACTGATACATGGGAAAACGCAGGTTTCAGTTGGGGTGGGGTTGAGGAAGTAGGCACTGTGCGGACATTGACACACCTCTCCAGCATTTTGCGGCGCCAAGCCTGCTATATTTTCCCTAGCAGAAAGCCAATTTTAACCCTTCCAGAACAAACAGCAATCCTCGTGTGAATATATCGTAAGCGTCATCGGACCGTGTGACTAATGCATCACTCCAGACTCACAGCAATCCTCGTGTGAATATATCGTAAGTGTCATCGAACCGTTTGACAAATGCATCACTACAGATTATAGTTAGGGTTATTCGCATGCTCTTACGCTCCTAGGCAGTCGATCCAAGATATGAAGGACACTTGTGTGGGTGAGCAAACAGAGCACGCAGTGCTTGAGTCGAGCACCACTCTGTGTAGACAAATGGGACGAACTTGGCTGTACGCACCACGGTTTAAAGTCTGAAGTAAGGGGTCAAAGTTGAGTTCTTTTTGACAAGGGGCGAGATGGCCCAAGTGGTTAAAGCGCGAATTTACTGACTACAGGGTCCGTGGTTCGAACCTGACCTCTGCCTTTCGACTTCCCCTGACTATGTTTGGGCGACCTGGCAGTATCCCAGCCCTCGTGCAACCTTCAGGTGGCATGGCAGTTAGGCGCCGAAAGGGTGCAGCATCTGAACATTTTATTTTATTTTATTTCTTTTTGCCAATGCTACATACTTTCTTCAAACAGATTCCGCGATCCACAGGATTGCAAAATCGGTAACTACCGCAGATTTATATTTATGCTTTGCAAGTATTTCTTGTGGCAAGCTCAACTTCTCTGCATTCGGCACTGTCCTTGAAGCGAACAATAGTCATGTATTTCAAGCTCCGCAGTGTATTTCGTATGCGACAATGGTAGTCATCAGTGTCTAATTCGAACTGCATACCAGTTTATTCTCAATGGACCCTCTGAGCACGCATGTACGATAGCGAGCGTTGGATAGCTAGATGCTGCTCAAACCAGGGCAACACTAAAAGGGACTCCTGCTTTAAAAGTTTAAGCATCATCCTCAGTTGGACAACGACAATCGTATCCAATCAACCGCAACTTCATCCATTTCCTGTGTTTTTGGCTTATTGCTGGTTAAAAACTGTTTGCAGGAATCCAGCTGTCGCTTGATTCATTTCATTTTTCACTGCTAGAAGATTACTCGTGTCATGGTGACAATCACTCGTCAAATCTTGGTTTTCCAGTTTCAATCAAATTCATCAGTTATCCTTCAAAGTGGCATTTTGGAGGAGCTTGAAAGCAAAGAAAACCGTAAAATTTAAACAACATAAAGTTGACGGAAACTCGAAGACTGCGTCTACCTGATGAGTCACAAGAAAGGTGAAACCAATCTTGGGCTGTTGACGAGTTTTCAACAACCTTGTGAGTAGTTTCCCTTCATGATAAACCACATTGCACTTTCAGGGTACAAAGTCACTGGACGAAGTAATGAGAGGTAATGCTGCATCAGAAACCTTAGTAACGAGAATTTGATTGTTATTCACGGTAGACTGATCTATGTTCAATTTCTATTGACACACTTCCACCCTGGACAGAAACCTCTTTGTATGGATATAACATACTATTCATAAGGTTGCTGAAAACTGTCGAGAGATCCAGAGGGGATTAAGCTGGGTTTTTCACAAAAAAGAAATTTGTGTACAAATGAGTGCATCTGTCAAAATGTTCTTTGCTTTTTAGTGCAAATTTTGCTGGAAACCCTTTGCATCGCATGCAGCACACGACAGCCATGTGAGACGAACCCACGGAAACCCCAACAGCATCTCGCACACTCTGGAACTCAAGTCGTTGGATCGAACACAAGCATCATGCGGTTCCCTCTGAATGGATAAGAACCTTCCCCTATTGTGAGAAGTCATCCGATGGAAGACTTCACAACTAGCATAGCATCTGGATTACCACCATGTCTTGAATTGCGCCAAGTGCAGACAGACGAGCACTGTCCAGTCAATCATTGCTTTCTACGCCACGTCTCCTTCAGTATATTGCCAAGACATTGAAACTATTATACATAACCTCTACTACTTCACCTCTTGGCATTCTGAGCATAGTTCCTTTTTAGGCCTCAAGCACGTTGTGGCTACTTATCTGGTAGGTTGTCTAGTTCATAGATTGGTATTGGACAATGATCACCTGACACGCAGTTGTAACCAATCAGAACGATTAAAGCACAATCGTTGCTCGTTTGTGTTTAAATTGCAGCCCTCTACAGTGTCACACTCAGTGGTCATGTAAAATTTAATTCTGAGTTATAAAATCCGTGATAACGATCATTGTAACAATAATGAAGTAAACTCAGCTAATGAACTCACGGAAGGTAAAACCATGAGATCGGACGATAAGCCAATGTAGAATGCTGGCCGAATAGCCGCAGCTCATTGGCTCAGTTTATTAGGATGTTCATGAAGAAACTCACCACACATCCTGCAGACGGGAAGTAGTGGAAAGAGAATTTCCATATTGTAGTAACGGTATTTTCCTCAGCTTAGTTCTCGGTCTGAGCCTCCCAAGCTAGCGTTCACGTCAAAACAACCACCAAAGGTGCACAAGGTCTACTAACGCCCAAAACGAAATCAGGAACAGTTGTACAGCGCTTCGTATATATAGCGTAAGCGGCTATTACTTTCTGGAATTTCTGACGCGTTCTGGAGCGCCATTGGCAACCGGCATTTGGCCAATACTGGGTCATGATTGGCTGTTGGGTCCAGATTGTTGACCAATCAGATCTCGTCTTGATGCCGGACCGGCAAGCGTCCCGAATTTTGAGCCAACCTCGAGCGGGCCAGGCTTCTCGGCCGTAGCAGCGCCTAAAGACGTGCGGTATAGTGGGATCCGCGTGGGTTCCTGCCTAACACATATCATCCTGGGCACAAGGCAGAGCATGTAGGAAGGCGTACAAGACGGGAACTGATTGTCAGTCTAGGTTGAGGGCGGGACAGAGTTTTGTTAGGTGATTTGTACGTTTTTGTTACAAAGGAGTCGCGTGATCTAGTGATCACGAAAGCTCTGGACAAGTTAAGCGAAGTAGGTTGAAGGAAATAGGAAGTGACCGCTACAAGCAAAAGATACCACAAAAAAGCTGTGCACGCAAGGTGTGGAAATGTGGCTAAGTAAAACAGAATATCACCCCTTATTTAGCGGTGTCATGGAACAGAATGAATACTTCTGAACGGCCAAAATCACATCCTTCTTGAGGACAAATTCTCTTGGATGATGCACTGCAGGTCACAATTTAGGTCGTTTTTCGTAAGACTGGTAAGAGAAATAGAAATGTTACCGTCAGTCCGCAGAAAATGTGACGGAATTAGTCTAAGGTCCCGGTAATTTTCCCAGCTTGTGGGTGGCATACCGTCAGGTAATAGCACAGGAGGCAGGACTGACGTCAGTCGTGAGTGCCCAGAAGTGCGTGGAAGCGAAACAACCATAGAATGAGCGTTATCCGACACAGATGAGGTTATGTCTAAACTAACCGAATCCAAACGTAGTCNATGAGGTTAAGTCTAAACTAACCGAATCCAAACGTAGTCGGTATTGCGGACGAAGAAATACAGCATTGCTTTATCGAATAAACCTGACGTCAGGTGAATTTGACAGAGAATTTGTGACCAAATCCAAAGAACAAATAACTACGCAATACTGACTGAAGAATCCGAATTCTCTTGCTATTATCTGATCTATCCGAGAAATGGAAAACGAGTTAGAATTTGTATAGACATACTGTGAAACAGGGCGAAAGGTAAAATCTAAACGGAGATGACTTACAGCTGCCCCTGTCAACAGGAAACCCACTGAGGACAACTTCGGGGATAAATATAGCACAGACAGCCCAATCCGGAACGCTCAGTCCGATAGGAAGCCTAGTGAAACTGAAGGTTAGTGAAATGGTACAACGTCGAATACTGAGTTTGAAGAGATAAATTTTGGGCGAGGTTTGATTACCTTTTTCCAAGGGAAACCAGCAAGAGATGCAGATATTAAAGTTGCATCAATGATTGCAATAGGTTTATTGTGAAACATTGGGAAGTGGAGTCCAAAATTATTGCAGTACCTGGCCGTGAGAACTTGGTTTTGCCTGATGCCCCCCACTTCCCCTGAGCTGACGTACACTGTCCCTTGTTTTATCCGATACCATCGGCATGGTGATGGCTGAGGTAGCTACTCCGAAAACGAAAGAGACACCTCTATCGACAACTACACAACAAACCTGCAGCCCACAATCTGGCTATCTGCCTCTCAATCTACCCCCGTCACTATCGGGTGCATATATGTTCCCACCACTCGCAACAGGCCTGCTCAGCCAACCATATCCACTTTTTCCACATCAGTTTCCATTCAGTGCGTAGAAATCATTCGCTGGCTCTCACTATCGGGTGCATATATGTTCCCACCATTCGCAACAGCCTTGCTCAGCCAAAAAAATCAAATTCTTTTCCAAATCAATTTCCATCCAATGCGTGGAAATCATTCGCTGCCTCACTTTATCATCATCATCATCATCATCATCATCATCATCATCATCATCATCATCATCACCATCATCATCATCATCATCATCATCATCAACATCATCATCATCAT